CTTATCACATAATGTCCTTTTCTAGACATAAAAGAATTCATATTCATGTTGCATGTTGTGTGCACATATTTCTTTTCACCATTGTCCTTCAAGGACACACAATTAATATTATAACAACGACATCCAATTTTTTCATCAACTGCCACATTTACAGAACTTTAAACTATAACAGGAATGTAGTCTCAAAATCATTCAATCTCAAGTATTGTAACCTCACGTACACAATATCTTGATTCATGGGACTTCAGGCCCAATATAAAATATTTTCTCATCCATAAACATCGATCATAATTCAAAACAATTTAGGACTACAGGTCCATCATATTTCGTCTGGCCAGACTTTATTATTGTGGATTATGAATCGATAGTTTTGGAAAAATAAATCATTGACGTCAATCTAATCACTATGATTCATGTTTCATCAAAATCCTCTATATGAGCCACAAAAGAGGAACTCATGTTCTATATCATATAATTTCTATAATTTATCAGCTGCAACATTTAACTTATATCATCCTCTTATAGAGGCATAAGTGACTTACTGTAATAAAATATGGTTTCATTTTGTATACACATAATGACCGTCAAACCATGCTTCATGCATTGGTTGAGCTCAAACTTCATGATCATTTGTATTAGTCACTTTGGCAGTTTACTTATCATATTTTACACGTTTCTCTTTTCATGTCATTCAATCCTTCTGGGATATTTTCCCGACATTCCAAAATATAATTATGTTCACGCCTTTATAATAATCTCCCCCTAATGTCGGGAAATGTGCTATAATGTTCTTGAACAAGGATTTATATGGAGTCACTTCTGGGGTCCAAGTACATCATTTCGAAAATGGGGTTGCAATATTGGCACACTTTGACTCATTTCAACGTGTAAACTTTTGGGGGTTAGTTATTAACAAATGCCGAATTAATATAAACTAGACTTTCTTCATATATTCAAGCAACTTTATAGCAGTTTATCTCAGGCTTAACATTCATCTTATTATGTTAGATATATTTTGTGGGTTACCTTATGCTCGTCACTATATTTCATAGAAGCCGACAAAATGGTCTTATACCACTCATTATATGTAGGCATTTTAGGGGAGTATATCTTGAGACCAAACTTGATATTAACCCACATTGTGAAACTTCAAGTTCACTTAACTCCCATGGATCCACTTATAAAATATTTGGGAGAAGAGACGGTCGTGTCATTTTCTTATCTAAGAAGTATTTATATACTGGATGTCTTATACGGCATTTGGTTTAAACCCGGGTTGACCTTAAATTGGTCATTTATTCAAAAAAAAAATTTAAACTTCATGCAACACATGTTTAGATATTATGGAAACACAATTTACACTGTGTTGGTATGGTCTCAAACTATCACCCAATAAGTATGATATCACTTTTAAAATTATTACTTCGCAGTGTTTGGGTAGCTTTTTTGAGCTTACAATCAATGCCTGAGATTTTATCATTATTATTTATGTGCACAACATGTTTATAAATATAATTTGTGCTTCCATTACTTTTTATCCTTAATTTGTATGACTATCAAAAGTTAAAATATTTCAGGCTCCATGCCACAAGTATATACATGCTTCAGGCGTTATATCATCCCTAAGACAAAAATAATTTGTCTCTAAAACAATCATTTGTATAGTGATTTCTTACTTTCATAGAAACAATACGAATCACTCACCTAGAAATGTATATGGAGAGTCTAAAGATTAGATAATGCTACTTCTGGAGTAACATAAAAGGTATCAAATAATCAAATTTGTTAAAGAATACTTAAATACTTGTCTCAAAGTATTCACTTCAATGAATTTCTTAAAATTTGCCTTGACATGTAATAAAATGCCTTGTGGATAATATCCGGTTTGGTACTTCAGGACCTCACGACTTAAAAACTCATCCACATGAAGGGCTTCAGGCTTTGCTTATAAATGCGTACACTATCTCATGTGTGAGCGATGTGTGAACTTCGGGTTCAAAATATACTCACTTGTACGTCAAATATATGCTCTTATAGTGACTTCTGGCATTTTGTTATAATTTCATATATCTATTTATGAAATTTTGTTTGCTTTCTCCCCCTCTCAAATAGATTAATTTGAGCAAATCATTCTACATAATTACAATAACTTGTGATTTACTAAGCATTATTTGCGTATTCATATCAATATTTAACTATGATTCAAATATAGTTAAAATTTACATCATGTTTGCTAAATATGCATTTTCTCAAATATAGTTAAAATTTATACAACATTGAAGTTATATGAGTCATATTAACTTATCGATTAATATTCAAACAATCAAGTTTCTCATATAAATGTAATCATATTATGTACAAAAAAAATGACCATATTTCTAATAGAGATGTGGCACGTACCTAGAACCTCCAATGCATTTTTCTTAATGCTTACATTAGCTCAAAGTAGCATGAGATAATATTTATAATAATACAAATAAGCATGGGAAAGGCAATGAAATGTTAACAAATTGATAAGCATATCCATCATACATGATCAAGTTAATGAAGTGCTACTAAGAGCATATTAAACAATAAATCTCAAAACAACTTTAGAAAATGCTACTACTGGAGCGAGACTTGATTGATATCTCATACGGAGTATAAGATTCAATTTGTGATTATATCAAATATGTATCATCTAACCAATCATGATGTATAAATTTCTCAAATTACGATTTGAGATAAATTAGTAAGATTACTAAAACCATTTAAATCTCCTATGAATAAATATTATTCATACTAAACTTTAACAATCAACATAAATGTCTAGTTAAAAGCAACAAAATTCATATTTCTAAAATTCTTGAGAGAGTCATAATCAACTACAGCCTCAAAATTATATAGTCTTAAGTACGTCCATTAACTGCAGTTAAATATTGACATTTCAAATCTTTGGGGAAGTGGTGACTGAAAAATATTAATCCGTATTATTTTAGCCTTATCTTCTTTGAATGTTGTATTGGTCATTTTAATGGTATCTCCTAAACTTTTGGCATCTCACTTAGAGATACATTCTAAAACGTTTGAATTTTAAACCTTTTTTTTTATCGATATTATTTTATGCCAACTAAATTTAATTCATGCCATTAATTGGATAAATAATTGCTATTCCGTAACCGATATTGACCAATAAATGTCATTAAATTCCATATTATAAAAAATTCATGATGCAACCAATATTAACTCAAGTAAATACTATCATGGCATAAAAAAAACTCCATAAAACGTACTCACAATACGATTTTATTTTTAGAACAGACGGTTTTTGAAAACAAAAATACCATGTTAAACATATCGTGTACCGACACATGCAGTACTAAATAGTACAATTGAACTTAAATGTCATAAAGGATAATAATGATGAATATATATGCTAATTAAATTCAATTTATATCATTAATAGAGCAAGTAAATGTCGTTCTCTAACCGTTATTGGCAATAAATACGTAGGAGTTATATTTTTCAATTAACTAATGAATGCCATTAAAAAAACTAATTTAATAAAAAAAACGACTTTCCTTCTTATTGTTTGAGCCTTTAGGCCACTCCTTTACTATCCCATTCACATAAAAATAGATCAAATTCCTAAAACGTTTATTCTTACCCCGGCCTTCATATGATTTAAGATAAAAAATCACTTGTTAATTACAAAATCATAATATTATAAGGTCACAAAAATGTTGGTATAGATGATCACTAATTCACAGGGATATACACACATAGAAGCAGTATGATTTTCTTACTAATCAATCGGTGAACATTGGAGAATCAAAACATTAGAATCGAAACAATAGCATATACTATCACACAAAATTTAACACATGAGCTAATGATTCATGTTTTGTGAAAACATTTGCGTAGTATATATTCCATAATATTTTATCCCAGAAATGCATCTATACACATGAACTTTCATATCCATTTCTCTTTTATTTTTCATTGCTCAATCTAGTTAAAAAAATAGAATTATAAAATAGATCAAATTTCATTAAAAATAAAACTCAGTTCGTCTAGTGCTAGGCACTCACATATTCCAATAATTGAGTGTGTTATAGCTAGGTTTATTATAAAAATAAAAATAAAAATCATCAATCAATTATTGTTATATCAGACTTGGCAAGGAATTTTCTTCACGTTTGCTTAAACAATGACATGCTTCTAATTTTCTAAGTCGGCCAGCCAGTTTCGGTGAATGTTTAAAAATATCCATGTATATTACGTTTCGTTTCGAATTTGAAGAAAATCAAGGAAAGTAAGCAAAAAGAAAAACCTGATGAGAATCACTATGTTGGGAAGTCCAACACGTGTGCCGCCGGTTCCCCTCTTGTTTCTCCTTTACTGGGGTGCGGCCTACGGCATCAGCCTATTACAATTCAATTCCGACTAGCGATTGCATGGCAGGAGAAGAAGACAAGCCGAGCAATCGGAGGTCGTTGATCTCCTGTAAAAGAACAATGCTGGCCGGTGAATAACTCGGGCTGCGCAGGACGCCTTTGATGGCCTCATAGCAGTGACCAGGCAGACGTTCAACCAATCCTAAGGATGTGCGATCCATTTTTTTTGTGTGTGGTCAAAGGGGCGATGACCGATTGGAAAGAGCGAAAATAAGGGATGCGTAGAAACAACAGCAACAAGGATTGCTGGCACAGTGCAATGTCGGCAACTGTTTCACGCGGTGCGGCGGCGCCATTGGGATGAAAGAAAAACGGGCGATAGAGAAAATATCGTGACAAAAGAAAGGAGAAAAGTCTTAGGGTTTTAGAGCAAGTCGTGCTGATAACGTGTGATAGTACGAATCCAATCATCCTTCTCATTAACATGTACATGTATATATACAAGGAGAATCGGGGATAGAGTTACATATGGGATGGGCTGGACTCTAACAATACTAATGGGCTAGATATTACGAAGTATTTTTTAATTTAAAGCAAAAGCAAACGCTCCCCAGCAAGCTTCATTTCACAACCATTTGACCAGTTGACCTTTTTCTCTTTTTAGCAAAAGCAAACACTCCCCAGCAAACCACTTTCCCCATTGCCAATCATCCATTCCTGGGACACTGACTGAGTCTGACTCATCACTCCGGATGATGCTCAGGGCTCATTGGCAATTGATGGTAAACCTTTCAATAACGTTGCTTCTCCTGCTACTTCCGCCGTTGCAGGTGATTTGCCTGTCGTCTGTAGCTTCTGAGGAGTACCATGGGTGCATGCCATCAGTGGAATGGCAGACCATAACGAAACGCAACTACTCTTCAGAGATCCGTCTCCATCCTCACCTTCTTCTCCTGGTTACCGTTCCATGTAATTTCTACTCTTTTGTTTTAAATTTCTTATTACACCCCTGCTATGTCAAATCAAGTAAAAATTTAGGGTACTTTTGATATTTCCTTTTGAAAAATTACTTTTTGTGGAAAGTGGGAAATTGTTTTGGAGAGGTAGGGAGTAACTCAATTTGATGGTTCTTTAAAATTGCCGTTATCATTTTCATTTACCCGGTGTCCCAAAGATGTGTTAAGGGGGTCGGATGTGTTAAGATGTGTTAAGATGGGAAATTGGAAGATGTGTTAAGGAGGTTAGGGAGATTAATTCTCCCCCTCTTTTGTAAGTCCATAACGAAACGCAACTACTCTTCAGAGATCGGTCTCCATCCTCACCTTCATTTACTTCTTGTACTAAAGCAGTCTTCCCTTGTACTAAAGCAGTCTTCCCTTGTACTAAAGCAATCTTCCCTTGTACTAAAGCAGTCTTCCCTTGTACTAAAGCAATCTTCCCTTGTACTAAAGCAGATACTGTTTTCGGATAACCCATAGTGAAAATCGCGTCCAAAATTGCATGGACTTACTGCATATTCGTAAGAAAGAAGCGCAGACAGTTTAGTGAGCCGTTTTGCTTTATTTCATCATATTCTTAACCCATAGTAAAATTGCTGTTGTTACCAATATTTTTAAATTACTTACATTGACCTTACTCTTTCTTTAACAGGGTCTGGAGAGTCTAGGTCCCTTATGAAGGAATTAGGTCTTGCATTGAACAGTGAACGTTTCAGATTTGGCTCCCTAAAGCTGAGGGTCCTATTTAGAAACAATGAGAGAACTCTGGCTGAAGCTCTCGGTGCTAACACCGGAATCTCAGTTGTATATTATCAGCATTCCTTGTTTTACAAATACCGTGGGAGACTCAGAGCTCACAACATATTATCTTCCATCCATTATGCTATGTCATTACTGCCTGAAGAACTTCCTCTGAAATCTGTGAGCACAGCAGAAGAGCTGAACGTTTTTCTTGGTTCTACTGACAAGGCTTTACTTCTCTTAGAATTTTGTGGATGGACTCAGAAATTGCTGGCCTTGGGAAAGAACAATGGAACAGATAATGGGTTTGGTATAGATCACAAATCGCATTTTTAGTTTGTTTTACTTTATTATTAATGTTATTCTAGTTGTGGTCGTGGTATTATTATTGTCATCATCATCATTGTTGTTGTAAGCCACCTGTAGCTGTTTGTTGTTGTTATTGTTGTTGTTGTAGGCTTGTAGCTGTTATTATTACTATTGTTATTATTATCATTATTATTACTTAGAGGAGGTTAGGGAGATTAATTCTCCCCCTCTTTTGGAAGATTGAAAGATAACATATGACTAGACTTCTGCCAGGAAATTTTAAGTTTCTGACATATCTATAATCACTATCAAATCTTATGCCCAATAATGAATTATTTCATTAGCCTTGTACTTTATTGAACATCATGGTATCCTCATTTAGTAATACTCATATAGCAGACGCCAGACAGAAAAGGGACAATATCCTAGTTAATCTAACTTGAAACATAGTTTTGTTTGTTTTTCCTTACAAAATAGTTGAAATAAGGAGACATCACATTCTCTAAGTGTGTGCAGTATCCAGTTGTATCCTCATAAGAGATTACACTAACTTGCCCTTCAAAATGGTTAAACCAAATATATTCACAAATGTGAATATTTATCCTGATTATTTTGCTAGTTATTTTGGAATACCTTGCTTAATATAAATTACATGCTGAGTAACAGTTTTATATCTCTCCTTTAGCCCGAAGTTGCACTCTTAAGTTCCATAGCTAACACATCAATGAATGGCACCATCAGTTTTTGTGGTATCACATTACTGATGTTTAGAATTGAAAATTTGAGTTTCCTACATTTTTTGGATCACAAGCCACTTAATTTTGAGGAGATCCTCATCTTTTAACTCATGAAGTTTCCTCGTTAATATGTTAATTAGCACTAGCTGTAGTTTTTTATGGTAAGCCGATATTTCCGCTAATACATTTCTGTGTTGCATTTCTATATCCGCATGAAGTTGCAAAGACATTTTGTCATTACATACATGTCCTTGTTTCTTTTTTTTTTCTTTTTTCTTATATCAATTCGCATAAGGATTGTGCCAAGAAGACTTTGACATTGCAAAATACAATTTTGGACAGGTTTCAATGATGAGTTCAATAGAACAGTTGTCAATGAGAGTAAAATTCAGAAGGTGTGCAGTTATTTTTCATTATGAGGTCAGTGTTGGAATTATAATGGACATTTGACTTGTTGGTTAAACGCTTATGTACATGTTTCTCAAACTAGGGAACAATAAATGAGAAGATGGAATGCGATATTGATGACAGGAGTGGTTTCATTCCTCATCTTAACAAGTTTTCTTTAGGAAATGACATCACTCTCTTGGAGGCTGAGTTTGTGTCTCATGGCGCATCTACTTGTGGTAATAAGGAATTCGGGCATTTCAAGTCTTTCTTAGAAAAAACTGTGATAGCTGCAAGGGAGTTCTTTCTTCCTCCTGAGAGGCTAAGATTTGGTGTAGTTACCAATAAATCACTGCTTTCCATGCTAAATGTTGAAGATCCAGGGTCATGGTTGATGACACTGCAAGTTGCTGGATGCCCAACTTGTTCAATTGTTTTTAAAGAAGGTGATGATCTAAAAAATGCAATACAGACTCAAGTGTCACCCGTTGCAGAGGCAAGTATTCCATTTATGATATTTATTATTATTGTCTTATTTATCTAGCTTATTTATTAGGTATCAGGACTTCGACTATATTTCATTGATTTTTGTTTCTTTTTTCTGGGTACATCGGCAAAGTTAGATTTTTGTTTCTCTTCATGTTGCATATCTCAGTATCTCACACTAATTGCCTAGCTCTTTGACTATGTCATTTATTAAATGAAGACCTGTTTCATATAACAAACCTGTGAATAATGGTCTTGTTTTTTAGGGATGTGGTTACGCCAGACATGGCTAAGTTTGTAGTTCTCTATCCTTTTCTTGCTTAGGAATATAGAAATCTAATATTGAATATTTAATTACAACATACTAAGGACTGGTACTAAAACTCCCCCCTAAAGGCTGTCCGTTATTCACATTCCCACTTGCCTGGGAACATAATTCTTAATTTTGCACTTTTCTACTGTATTTTTGAACATTTTTTTCTTATCAAATCACTGCTCACTCTGCCTTCCACCGCTTTCTGGAGATCCTCACGGGTTCAGTATTGTACTCCTAGAGGTTGGCGTAATAATGTAGATTTTGGCTTACAGGTCACCCTCCTATACCTTACTTCTGAGTTGGATATATTGGGTATCTTTGGCTTGGCTTTGTTTAAAGGAAGAAATAGAGAAGAGAGAAATGGGCGAGGAAGAGATTGAGAAGTGAGAAATAGTAGAGAGGTAGATTCTGTGTGTTTTTTGGCAGGAGAGAAATGGAGAAGAAAAAGGTAAAAATTGAGAAACCCATTCTCGTACTTGTCCACACAAAAAGTGGTGGGACTCACCATTTTCATTTATCTAATTCTCTCCTTTCCATTTTTATTGTTCTCAGACAAGCGAGGTTTCTCATTTCTCATTTATTTCTCCCCCTCAAATTTCTTTCCTTTTGTGCCTGTGTATCTTTTATTATTAATGCAAATAATGCTTAAAAAGATTCTGATTTTACTTTCAATTCAAAAACATCATGACTGTTCTTTGTTATGCTTTTAAACTTGTTTGGGTACTATGACTTTTCTTTTCACCATCCTATGTTATATTTTATAGATAATTTTGGGAAATTCTTTATAGTACCCTTATAGTATTACATTTTCTATTTGGTAGACAAATACATTTCAGAGTTGACATTCTATTTGGTAATTATACATTTATACACAATACCCCCATGACCCCACATAAGTAAAGCCTCTTTAAAATTTTAACTACCTCTGAATTTGCATTCACCTTTGTTTTTGTTTTTGATTTCCTGGTTCAATCTCATTAATTTTCAAAATGTTAAAAATGCATTTTAAGCATTGCAAATGAAAAAAATTGAAAATATTTTCGGAAATGTTTTCTTTGGTGTTAGAAAGCAATAAATTTTCACATCACCATATCCTTAGATCTGTAATAAGACTGGCACTTTCTCACAGTTATTTTAATGGCTCCAAGACTAAAAAACTATCGACAATTTTATTATAAAAATGTCTAAAATTAAAAATATTTAAACAAGACTAATTCATCCACTCCCTAGTTATGAGAGTATGAGACCAAGTATGTGCATTTCACCCATACAAATAATAGCAGAATTGGGATTAAAGTGAACCTTATATTATAAACAATATTAAATGGTTATAATTTTTATTGATTAAAATGATTTTTATCATTTTGTATAATCAATTACGTATGAACTCACAACATAAACTAAGAAAGTTTTAATCTACTAAATAGAAACCGTAATACCACTGAGGTACCGTGTAAAGTTTCCCTCTCCTTTTTGTATTCTGCAGCTCGAAGATGATTCAGATGACGCAGGGCTCTCTCTTCCAGCCCATAAGCCCTCAGTGCTTCTTTTTGTTAATAGATTCTCAGTTTCGTCAACTTTGAGAAAAGAGAGCAAGAAAGCTATTGATGCCTTTAGAGAGTTAGCACTCCATTATCATTATTATAACCTCGAGAGTAGAAAAGATAACCGAATTTCAGAAATGGCATCTGTTAAAGCACTTCAAGCATTGAGGAGTACTTCTGAACACCATAGAATAGATCTGTTTCAAGCAGCACAAAAGATAGATGCCAATGACAAGATGTCTTTTGTTATAATGAATGATGGAAAACATGTCTCTGCTGAAAACTTCGCTGATTTGAAAGGGAGTTCTTTCCATGAGATATTGACACATGTGCTTAAGCAGAAGGAGCTGAAGTTAAGCACAATTGCTAAAGGTGCAGGATTCCAACTCTTATCTGAAGATCTTAATATCGAACTTGGTGGCGCCTTTGCAGCGCAGGTCAGTGATCACCCTGACCACGCTTCTGAATCCCCCACAAGTATTGCGACTACAGGTGCTCATGATTCCGAGTCTTTTTGTAACAATGGGCCTTCTAATGTCCAAATAGAAAATGCTCAACCGTTAGTAGTGCAGGCAGAAGATCAGTCTGATCAACCTCCTACAGGAAACCCAGAATGGGTTCAAGAAGATACGTTGGACTTAGATGCAATTCAGGTGCTACATAAGGCAAATCCTTTTCATGGACGGCATATGCTGCAACCAGAAGTCCCTGCTGCTGAATCTTTTGAGCTATCTAGTGACAAGAACTTTATTGAAGATCCTCATGTTCAAGAAGCAACAGATGGTTCAGGAAGTGAGAGGATCTTTGAGAAAGATCTCAAGGTAGATGAGGAAGAACGCAAGGAAGAACATGAAAAAGTGATCAACTTGGAATATGCGCAATCTTTAGCGGTGCAGACAGAAGTTCGGACCAATAAACCCTCTGGGGGAGACCCAGAAGGAGCTCAAGAAGCTATCGCTTATGGAGAGCAAGTGGCACAGCCAGATCTCGCTGCCTCTGAATCATCTAAGAAGAATACTAAAAAGAATATTATTGAACATTCTCATGTACAAGAAACCACATACAGTTTGGGAAATGGGAAGATATTTGAGAACACTCTTGAGGTAGATGAGAAAAAACAAGAGCAAAATTTCAGAGGTTCCTTCTTCTTTTGTGATGGTCAGTACAGATTACTTAGAACCCTAACTGGAGGGTTAAAGGTTCCATCTGCAGTAATAGTAGACCCCACTTTGCAGCAACATTTTGTTTTAGCTGAACAAGAAGCTTTCAACCATTCTTTGCTAGCTGAATTTCTTGATAGATTTATCAGTGGGAGTCTTTCTCCATATCAACAATCTGAGCCTTTTGCTCAAAGTCCCAGGCTAGCCCCAAAACCACCATTTGTCAATCAGGATTTTCATGAAGCAGATTCTATACCTAGAGTAACAGCAAATGGCTTTACTGAGCTGGTTCTTGGAAACCATTCTGACTCTACGTATGGTAACAATTCTCGGAGTCGAGATGTCTTGGTTCTTTTCAGCAATACTTGGTGTAGTTTTTGCCAGAGGATGGAGTTGGTTGTTCGTGAAGTATATCGAGCTATTCAAGGATATTTAGATTTGCCTAAGACTGCATCTAGTGACTATAAAAAGCCACTGGCTGATGGTAAGTTGTGGAGTGTAGCTCAAGTCCCATACCAATAGTTACCTCGTATCTTTTATATTGGAATGTCCAGCGAATCTTCCCGGATGCACTGTCTGGTTCTTACCCTATATTGGCCTTTTTGAAGTACAATTTAGCATCAATCATCAGCTTGAATGTCTTGTAATTAACTGGGGAAAAAGTAAAAAAGCACAGGAAGCTGTTCTTTTTTGTGCATACAGCCATACAATCCACAGAAATATGGATCACCATTAAAATGCACATAATTAGACAGTTTGTCAAGGTTTACTTGTTTATCATCTCTATTAGTGTTCTAGAGATATGCATCCATGGTTATTAAATAATTGAAAGTGTTACTTTTGCACTCAGAAATTTGCATTCTGCATGGCTTAATGACCTCGACTTTTTTCTCATTTAAAAAGTAGAGACAACATAAACGAATGTTCATGACATGCTACAAGCCTACAATAATTTTTTAAATCTCATTTTAAGTGCAACTCATCATTTTGGTGCCAATAAATAGAATTTGACTTGTAAAAAACTGCTGATATGAGCCTTCTTAATGTGTAAATTAACTTGTGCAGATGGTCTGAAAAATATCATTGCGAAGCTTCCATTGATTTACTTGATGGATTGTACATTAAATGACTGCAGTTTGATTCTGAAACCTTTGTTTGAGGTATGACATTGTTATTTGTCCACAAAATGAAAAAAATACAAGCCATATGACCTTTATTTCAATACCTTTTCAGGGGCAAATGCATAAATGGTACTTTAACTAATGGTTATGTTGCATTTTGGTACCTTAACTCTTAAATGATTTTTAACGATACCTTAAATATACATAAATGTTTCGAATTGAGATTTCATTCAATTTTTCGACCAAAAAATTCTTCAGAACGATCACAATTCCATGTGTAGAGTCACCCTATAGTGATCATATGGACAAAAATAAGGTGAAGTAGACTGTACGCATAGAATTCTGGCCGCCGCATGTGTTTTTTGGTAAGAAATTTGAATAAAATCTCAATTTGAAACATTTATGCACAGCTAAGGTACCGTTTTAATTCATTTGAGTTAAGGTACCGAAATGCAACATTATCATTAGTTAAGGTACCATTTATACATTTGACCCACCTTTTCACCTACGCCTATCATTTTGCCTTGTACTTTTGTACAACCTTTAATGTATGTTACTGGATTAGGAATGCCACATGTGGTACTTTATGTTACTGGATTAGGTGTGCCACATGTGGTGCTTTATTTTACCATTTTTGCAATCGGTGCTATAACGAATATGTGTATTTTGTGGATGCTGTTAGGTAACAAGTAAGCAGTACGGAGTATAATTCTATGTATATTAAGCAATGTATTATGTAAACTGAGTAATAGAGATTAAAGGTGCGATGAAATCACAATATATTATTCATTGGGTGTAGCCGGTATAAATACACACAAGTCATAGAATACCAAAAGGAAACAAAATCTGCCAAATTTACACAGAATATGTAGTCTATCACATACAATACATTAACTACCACATATATATGCATAGAGTATATTGACTATTAAATATGTATATTCTAACACCCCCTCAAGTTGGAGCGTAGATATCATGCCCAACTTGGTACAGATGGAATTGATAGGTGTCCCCGGTAGAGCCTTGATGAACACATCTGCGAGTTGATTTCCTGTTTTGATGTGTGGAATGCAAATTGTACCATCTTCTACCTTTTCTCGAGTAAAGTGAGATCAACTTCGATATGCTTTGTTCTTTCGATCATTTGCAATATGGATAGCTGCATGATTTTCATACCATAATCTCATTGGTTCTGAGTGATCATAGGCACTCCTACGTAAGCCAAATTTAATTATTGCAGCACTGAAATGGCCGAACCAAGCTCACGGGGATTGTTTTAAACCATACACCGATTTCCTTAATTTACATACCTTTCCAGACTCCCCCTGACTCCCCCTGATGCTGATGGTTGCTCCATGTATACTTCCTCACTAAGGTCGCCATTCAAAAGGCATTTTTAACATCAAGTTGATGGAGTGTCCAAGTGTAAATGGCAACCAAAGGGATAAACAATCGAACGGATGTAAGTCTGCAACAAGAGAGAAAGTGTCAAAGTAATCTATACCATATATGTGAGCATAGCCCTTAGCTACTAACTGTGCCTTTAAACAAGCAACCGAACCATTAAGATTCATTTAAATGGTGAACACCCATTTAAACCTCATAGCTTTCTTTTTGGGTGGAAGATATACAAGATCCCACGTGTGATTCCGATCGAGAGCCATCATCTCCTCTCGCATTGCCTCGTGCCAACCAGGATGAGCCAATGCCTTAGAAATAGTTGAAGGAACAACAATAGAATCTAAACAAGCAACAAAGCTCTTGGAAGAAGGTGATAATGCATTATGATTTATGAGTAATAAAGGAAGAAACATGATAAGTATAAGTACGAGTACCTTTTTGAAGGGCGATTGGGAGATCAAGGTTGGAAGGAGCAAAATCTGGAGGCGAAGCAGAAGATGGTGGTGGTACACCGGTAGCCATAGTAGGTGCCGTAGTCATAGGGCATACATGATGAGTGTAAACTTTAAGGGGATGAGGTGGACGCGGAACGGAAGTTAATGGGGAAACCTCACTAGGGGGATAGACTAGAAACTCAACATTAGAGAGTTCCATAAGAGGGGATGAAGATGAATTAGTCTGAAGGAAAGGCGTTTCTTCAAAAAAGTGACATTTGCAGAGATACGATACCGTCCCAATGAAGGATAATAACATCGATATCCTTTCTGTAATCGGGAATAACCGAGAAAAACACACTTGATTGATTTAGAATCAAGTTTGAGACCTTGGAACACATATCCCGAACAAAACATGCGCAATCAAACACACGAGGAACAACAGAGAACACTGACTGAGAGGGAAATCAAACAGAGTACGAGATCTGACCATTAAGAACACAACAGGCTTATGATTGATAAGGTAGCAGGCAACGTCTACCCAAAATGGTTTAGGAAATAGAAACCCATGTGAAATATTAAGGCTCGAGCTACTTCTAGTAGGTGACGATTCTTTCATTAGACTAAACCATTTTGTTGGGGTGTATAGGGACAAGAAATGTGGTGTAAAATCCCATGGCGAGATAAGCAAGTTTGAAAAGTGTTAGATAAATAGTCATTAACATGATCACTTCTCAGAATGTGTATATTCTTGTTAAATAGAGTTTGAATTTCAGCATGAAAGGTACAAAATGCAATAAACATATCTGAACGGGATTTCATAGGATAAAGCCAAGTAACTCGAGAAAAATCATCACAAAATAACGATAACCAAGTTTGGAAACGACAGGACAAGGACCCCACACATTAGTGTGAACTAAATCAAAACTAGACTCAACACTTTTATTTATTCGAGGGAAAGTTGTTTTGTGATGCTTCACAAATTGACATGCTTCACACTCCAAAATAGACTCCTGTGACAGACTAAGACACATCTATATGTAGTACAAGAAGAGATGTATGACCAAATTGACAATGAACTTTTAACATAGACGAACTGATGAATGCAAGTGATCTTAGCACCAAGGATTCAAAAACATATAAGCCATTAACCAATCTGCCTTTACCAATAATTTGCTTCGTCCCAAGATCTTAAAAAAGGCAATGGGTGGGAAAGAAAATAACACAACAGTTTGATAAGGACACATACAATAATACTAATAAGAATATTAGAATACTAATATCCTAATGTCAATAAAAGTTCAGTATTCTTGATTGTTCTGTTCTGTTCTTGAGTGTTTTGTTAATTCAAGAATCTGGAAATTGCCAAGTACCTAACATTGAATATATAGGGACACAGACAATATAATACTAATAAGAATAGTAGAATAGTACTCCCTCCGTCCCATTAGAAGGTTCCCATTTCCATTTTAGGAAACAATTAACAATCTTAAGTGACAAATTAATCAGTAAATATTAAAAATATTACATTTATAATATCACAGTTAACAATACTAACTACATTATATTATATACCTATTAAAATTATTTCTCAAAATATACTCAAAATACTTTATTTAATTATCGCCTAAATAACCGTGCCGTTTTGTTATGGGAACCTTCCAACGGGACGGAGGGAGTATTAAAGAGTGTGATAATTTATAAAAGAGGGTTCTGGGCCATGTAAATCAGGAATAATGGGCTGACCCTTATAAAAAATAGAATTACTATAAGTGTATAAGTATGAGGGGAGTGTGTAAGAAGAGGAGGCGGATTTTCAGTTCCAAAATAGACTCTGGAGAGCCTGGCACTCTCGAATTTGCCCAAAACTGTCCCTGTAATTTCTTTCTGTGAACAAACGTTCAGTATTCTTGATTGTTCTGTTCTGTTCTTGAGTGTTTGTTAATTCAAGAATCTGGACATTGCCCAGTACCTAACATTGGTATCAGAGCACGCCGCTTCCTGGAGGCAGAGAATCTAAATCAACGATCATTCCAGAGCATCAACAACCTGGAGCTATGGAGAAATTCTATATGTCACCGTGAATGGAAAAGAGTTTTGACAATATGGAACAACATATGAAGGAGATGAGAACTACATTGGGCGAGATGCGCGACATGTTGCGCAAACTTGTCACAGGCAACCTAGACACCGAGCGAGGAACCAAACTAGACGCCGTTGGCCAACTGAAAATCAGGTATCATCGTTCATCGCTTTTCCTAATTCGCAAACGCGAATGGCTTCTTCCGGTTCGCAGTCGTGAATTTCGTCTCACATTTCGCAATCGCAAACTTTGTCTCCCAGTTCGCAGTCACGATCTCCTTCTCCCAGTTCGTCGCTAAGTGCGCAGGTTTCTTCTCAGTCGCGAGCAACTCCTTCTAGTTCTCTGGCTTCATCGCGAACTCTTTTTCCTCACCGATTATCATCCCAAGTCATTTCTCCTAGTTCGCAGACTGTGTCATGGTAGAAGATATCAGTTCGCAGTCACTACCTGGAGATTAAATAAAACTTGAATTTGAGATATATATAAAACAGAAGATAGAGAAAGGTTCCGAGAAAGAGTTGCTCTATTCCAATGCTATTGACATTTGTGGTTGATCCATTGGCTAAAGTATCATGAGATTGGTTGGCAGAAGATGTAAAGAAAGAAAAAATAATTTCATTACCAGTCATATGGTCCGTTGCACCAGAGTCAATCACCCAATTGCGTGATGATGTAGAGAGGCATGCACCAGGATTACCTGTATCAACTTGTGTAGTGGCGGATGAAGGTGTGAAAGAAAGTGGCTGAGATAGGAACAGTGGACGGAGTCGGTAGGATACCATCCTGGATAACCGTATTAGAAACACGCCTAAGAGGGAATTGTCCGGATGTATGTGGTCGACGACCATTTAATTTCCGGCAGTTCTTGATGTGACCCTCAACTCCAGAGTGATAACAAGCACGAGAAGGATTACGAGTCATTCTACTGACTAAGGCAGCAATATCAATCGAGTTCATCATTCTGGATTCTCCATCCTTGCATACGGGAATGGGACATCCATAGATGTAAGAAAAACTGGGAAGGGTCCCACTAGACAATATTTGACTCCGTGGTACCTCATACGGAGTATTATGGACCAAGCCTAGCCAAAACACCATGAACAAATGTCCACTCCTCTTGTTCTTGCATACTCTTAACATCAACAGTATCTGGTCTTTCATCTCCCGTCTATAGTAATGCACCACTAATTGATGATTATAAGAAATATCTTCTTTACTGGCATACATAGACTCCAAATACTCCACATTTCATTGACAGTATCACAATGAGTAATGATACTATCAATAGAAGGATCTGGGGTATTCTGGATCTGATTGACAACCTATCATTGGCCATCATCCATTTCTTTCTTTCACCAGGATTACTTCTTGTAGGAGCCAATTCACTTAGATGATCTCCCAGATGAAGACTATTAACATATCTAGTAATAATGCGTTTCCACTGCCCATAATCTTTAGCACCAGTCAATTTTCTCTTGATAATTCTAGCACTACCAACCGTTATCTCAGTCACACAACTGTTAGGAATTAAACTCACGCACACAAAGAACAATTAAAGAACACACGAAATTTGGTAACCCAGTTCGCCACGAATGACTACGTCTGGGGGCGCTTCCAAGCCAGGAATATTATTGCTATTTTCGTATCCACACATGATTACAAGGGAGAGAGCTTGTATTTATAGAGAAGTAAAACCGAACCCCAAGGCAACTAGGATGCGTTTCCTAAAATAAATTAAGAAACGTGTTTCCAAAAATAAATTAAGAAAAACTTGGTTATACAGTTTCTAACACCTTACAATCTCCCACCTTGAGACTGTCTTCCTCAAATCCTCCTTGTTAGCTTGGTAGCGCCGACCTTCATCTTCAAGTACCAAGGCCAATTGAAGCTATGCAAAGCTTCAATTTCTCCAAGGTTACCACCTTAGTAAACATGTCTGCTGGATTCTCACTCCCACGGATCTTCACAAGCTGCAATGCCTTTATCTCCAGAAGATGACAGATGTAGTGATACTTCAACCGCATGTGTTTGGTTCTCTTGTGAAAAGCTGAGTTGTTTGCCAAGAAAATAGCACTTTGACTGTCACTATAAAGAATGCTATTCTTGTACTCCTTCCCATGTTCCCCAAGTAGATTCTGAAGCCACACCATCTCCTTATTTGCCTCCGTAATGGCCACATATTCAGCTTCAGTGGTAGATAATGCAACAATCTTCTGCAGCTGCGAAAGCCAGGAAACTGCCGTTCCACCAAATGTAAAAACATACCTGGTGGTGCTCCTCGATCCATCTGAGTCATTCGATGCCAGGTCTGCATCAACATGTCCCAGCAGCTTTACATTCTTCCCATGAAAACACAAAGCATTAGAAGCACTACCTTTCAAATACCTCATGATCCACTTCACAGCTTCCCAGTGTTCTTTCCCGGGATCTCCCATGTATCTGCTCACTACTCTTACCGCATGTGCAATGTCTGACCTTGTGCACACCATAGCGTACATGATGCTTCCAATTGCCGAGGCGTATGGGACATTCTGCATTTGAGCACGTTCCTCCTTGTTCTTCGGCGAGTCTTCCTTGCTAAGCTTGAAGTGACTACCCAGTGGTACACTTGTTGCCTTTGCATCTTGCATTCTGAACCTTTCCAGGACCTTCTGAATGTATTCTGCCTGTGAAAGAAACAATCTGCCCGCTGCCTCATCCCTCTCGATTCGCATGCCCAAAATCTGCTTTGCCTCTCCAAGATCCTTCATGGAAAAACGTTCTGACAACGGTTTCTTTAGTTTCTCAATCTCCTTTGAACTAGCTCCTGCAATCAACATATCATCAACATATAACAACAAGATAAGATAACAGTTCTCAGTCTTCTTGTAGTAGCAACAATTGTCGGTGTGGCATCTCAAGAAATTTATGTCCCTCATGAAACCATCAAATTTTATGTCTCCGAGTTCTTTCATTTTGGTATAAAGAGAATCCATTTTTTCATAAAGGAAATTGTTCACGCCAAAAAGTCCGATTCTCTCTTTTTCAGTGGTTCTAAGCTTCTCTGTCAGTTCTTTTTCGCTAACGCTCAGTCATTTATTCTCAGCGGTGAGCTTAGCGATAATCTTTTTTTGAATTGATTATTTTGATATTTGAGCAAGTCTGTTTTTCTCGCAGTTTGTTATACACACCGCATGCTCTCTCAAATTTCTCCTCAAGCTCCTTTATCTTATCATGTGGGTCTGTTTTAGAGCAAGCAGAATTAAACGGGTTAAAAGTACTTACAGCGGGATCTGCATCCATGTTTGATTGTTGAATAATGATCGTTGACGTGTGGTTGATTGAAGTTTTCTACAGGCTTGTGGCTCTTGAAATGTAGCTTTGATTTTGAGAAAATTTAGTCTTAACCTTGAGTTTTTTTTCTCAAGGTTGACTATTTGAAGCTTTGACAAAGTGTTGGCCTTTGGTTTTGGAGTTTGACCTCGAGGTTTGAAGATGGGCTAAAAAATAGCACTTGAAGTGGGTGTTGGGAAAAATGTACTTGTCCAAGTGAAAGAAAAAGTAAGCTTGTTAACTTATCCCACATCTAAACTCCTTTGAAACTTTTGAGCCTATTTATATAGAACACTCCTTCCTTACGATTAAATTGTGAAGGAAAAGAGGGGAGCTCTCGCGCACATGGGATTTCGGTTTGTAGTTCAAAAGCGAAAATTCGCACCACTGCGCTTGCGACCTGCAGACACGATAGTCGGAAGATTTCGCAGGTCACAAAAGACAATTATGCCCCTCCTTCCTTTGTTTTTTTATTTTGCTCCGGGTTTGTACTAAGATCGCGCAACGAGTAAGATCGCGCAACACTGATATCTGGATCGCGCAAGTTTTTTTTAATTAAAAGATTGATCGCGCAATGTTTCACGCAAGGGAAGATCGCGCAGCCCGTTTCGCACAGGAATATCGCGCAACACCTGGATCGCACAACGAATGTTCGCGCAACACCTGATCGCACAACTTGTTCCGCGTAAAGGGAGATCGCGCAAGGAATTCGGGCACCCGGGGAATATCGCTCAAGTGTATCTTTCGCTTCTGTGTAATCGCTCGAGTCTTGTAGGATCGCTCAACTTTTAGATCGCTCAAGTGTTGTAATCGCTCAAGTAGAAGGATTGCTCAAGTCCTGTTCACACAAAGGAGTAATCGCGCAAGACCTGTTCTCTTCCTGGAGGAGTTGCGCGAAAATGCAGTATCGCTCAACTCCAGATTAACCTGCAAAAATAACAACAAAAATAATATACAAGATCGCGCACGAGGCAGAAAAGTGCCGATGAAAAATCGCGCAAGTCCTATTCCCAACTTCAATCGATCGATCAATAGCAGAAACTTCAATCAGTTACACGCTCGGCTCTGATACCAATTGTTGGTCCCTATTTCTACTCTATAATGTATAAGATCTGATTAATAGGAGTAGAAGAAGCTTTCCATTGATAGCCAGAGAGTTTACTTAAAGATGAAGAACATGTAGCGTAAAAGTTCCGTAGGCTTCTAGTCTATGCGCAAGGAATTTTTCTAAGGGAGGAAAGCTTAACCTACTCATTCTCCAAAGGGGCATATTTATAGCCATGGAGAATGGTAGGTTAACAAATGATTGAGCTCCAACTTCTAGGAGGCCCATTCCTATTTAGGCAAGCATGCCTTTACCAAATAAGGCATAATTAAATATTCTAGCTACTACTACAAAGGCTAGATAAAGCATTGATCACAATACATGAAAATATCTCTAACAAGTAAGAAAGATGAGATAAAAAAATTAGAAAAAGCAAGGGTATTTATGTATTTTGATATGATAAAACTTGCCAAAATAGGAATGGGGAGCACATAATAAAAAACTTCCCAAAAAGGAATACAACAACATCCATATTCCCAAAAGGAATGTGGAGAAAAAAAGAGTTGAGCCAAATTAGGAATGTGGAGCATTCTTCTTCTCAATGTTATTTATACCGCGCCTCTTACATAACTTAACTCCTATTCCAAATGAGAACAGTTCTGTGATAATGTTGTTATTTTGTTATCAGTGTTTCATGTATACACGAATCAGCAGTCTAGCAAAGAACTTTATTCACATTTTTCCTGTGTGGTTCTTGTATCTAAAATATGCAGAGAGAAGTTTACCCATTGCTGCTGTTATTTCCAGCTGAGAGTAAGAATCCTGTTCGCTATGAAGGAGATGTAGATGTATCTGAGATCATCAAGTTCCTTGCTGAAAATGGCAATTATTCTTACGGCCCCGCTAGGGAGAAAAGTAAGATTTCTTAAAGATTATTTCTTCCAGTCAACCTTGCCCCTATACCTTTTGCCATCAAAATAGATTTTAAAATTAATGACAGTTCTATTTTTTTATTTTGAATCATGAGTCATGAACAACGACCTTGAACTTTTTGAACAGAATCTTCATTAGATATATTCAATGCTTATAAGGAGAAGGAAGTAGACTGAACAATTTTAAATAATATCGATAGTTTTATATTACGAAAGCAAAATATTCACTGGTGTCACTTTTGCCATGATGATACTAAGTAATCTCATAAGAGGTCCACTGTTTAATCAACATGAAGACTATCTTGCTTTGCCAAAAGGAAATATATACGTCATCTATTACACACAACAATGTGTGTACAAGAATATATAGATGAAGCAAAAAGACTTTGTAAGCTGTATAAATATCAGCCCTAAGACACAGTCTAAGTTTATAGTAGAGATGTACGTCTGCTTATAGGAACCGGGCAAATTAGTGCTACTAATAAATATAGTGCAGTCTAAGTGTACCGGTAGTATAAATTGAAGGGAAGGGAGGAATAAGGGTAAGGCAGAATTTCAGTTGGGATTAGTCTGGGAGAGTGAGGCCTCGCGGAGACTCGATCTGTTTCTTCTCTTTCTTCTCTTTCTTCCATTGTAATAGAAAGTGAACAAGATAGAAGATGGAAATGAAAACATCTTACTCAGAATAGAAGTTTACAGAGTATTTATACAGCTGGTAACTAACTGACTAATCAGTTATTCTAACAGAAGCCTTAACAGACTAAGCGTACAACATATATCAAAGAATACAAATATAAGAGAATATCTAGTATTCCTAACATTCCCCCCTCAAACTGAGGATGATTGCTTTGGAAAATCAATCACACTCAGTTTGTCTCTACACTCAAGAAATGAAGATGCTGATAGAGGCTTGGTCAGCACATCTGCAATCTGCAATCTGTTGAGGAGCTGGGATATGAAGCACTTCAAGCTGCTTGAGTTTAACTTTCTCTCTAACAAAGAAAAGATCAATTTCCATATGCTTAATGCGAGAGTGTAGTACAGGATTGTGAGCAAGTTGGACTGTACTGAGGTTGTCACAGTAGATTCTGGGGGTGAGAAAAGGAGCTTGAAGTTCTTTAAGTAGAAACTGAACCCATATAATTTTTGATGAAGTGTCTGCTAGGCTTCTGTACTCAGCCTCTGCTGAGAATCTGGCTACCCGTAGTTGTTTGCATGACCACCAAGAAATGATGTTAGGGCCTAGAAAGGTGCATGACCCTGATGTTGATTTTCTGTCTGTAGGATCTGATGCCCAAGCAGCATCACAGAAGGCAAAAATAGGTAGAGGTGTAGTGGACAAAGGAAGAAATTTGATGATCAACCCATAGGTAATAGTTCCAGAAAGATATCTGAGTATATGTTTCACAGCCTTCCAGTGTTCTTGTAAAGGTGCCGCCATGAACTGACACACTTTATTCACAGAATAGCTAAGTTCTGTTCTAGTTAGGGTAGGATTCCAACAATAGATCTATAATGAGATGGATCAGGAAGGAAATCATTCCCTTCACTGGTGAGTTTGGAGCTACTCACGATGGGTGTTTTCACACCCTTGGAATCAGACATTCCCGCCTTTTCCAAGAGATCCCTGATGTACTTTGCTTGTGATAAGTGTAGACATCCACCAGGAAGCCTTCTAACCTCAATGCCCAAAAAGAAATCAATATCTCCCAGATGTTTGAGAGAAAATGAAGAGTCCAGCTTCTCAAAGACGAGTGCGGTTGAAAAGTGCATGTTGCATTGAGTGTGTGGGTATACTAGGAAAGACTACATGAGGAATTAGACAACCAAGACAAAAAGTGGGAGCAATACCTACTTAAGGTAAGACGTGAGAGTCTCATGTGTGGTGCTTTGACCATGTGTGTGAAAGATCGAGTGATGCACCTAGATAGATTGAGAGGTGGGGAGAGGGAGGAGGGAGAAAAAGGAGAAGGCGACCTAGATGAGATTATGTCTTTGGAAAGGGTGAAGGATGGAGGCATACATGTGGAGGAATGATCTTATATTGTTTGTCTATGTCTCTCTCTATTTATTGTTTATAACTCCAATATCATATATGTTGATTCATGTCAGGCAACTCCAAACTCATGGGATTAAGGCTTGGATGTTCTTGTTGTATTGTAAAATGTATTTGTACTAGGTTTTGGATTTTGTGGGGGTTTTTTAGATGAAGCCCAATATTGAAATTCTGAAGAGGCCGTTTGTTTTTCAGCAGGTAGACACCTACACGCTACAAAATGCAGCGTTTGTAGGCCAAAATTTTCAGCTTTTTGTTGAATGGGTGAATTTGACTTTGCACACCACTTTTTGGGTAATATTGAACTTTGCACCTCATTTTGAAAAAACTTTGACTTTGCACCCCATCACATAACATTTTGTGAAGAAAAATTCTGAATGGGGTGCAAAGTCGAAGGATTTATAAGTGAAATGGGCTGCAAAGTCAAAGTTTTTTTAAAATGGGGTGCAAAGTCCAATATCACCCAAAAAGTGGGGTGCAAAGTACTGCAAACTCAAATTCCCCCTTGTTGAAAATGCAATTACCCAAATGGAGCCGAAGTCAATTTCTTATAGCTTAACACATAACATGACAACACCTGTTAAATTAATGCTAACCTAGTCATGCAATTCATGAGATGTAAGCCTGAGACAGTCAGATGTCCTCAGGGTATAAACCTCATATTTTTTTGACTTGCTTTGAGAAGCGCCTCAAGCATTTCCATAACATTAGACTGAGTTTCGTTAGGACATGCTTGTTGTCTGCAAGCAGTGTAATGCATGCTACAAGCTATAATCAGCCCATTGTGGAGCTAGAGGTTGGTTTTTCAAAATTTCCAATCATCTATTCATTAACCCCAGCTTGCAATTGTTATTTATTTTCATCGTGATCACTTTGTTAATGTTGATATTTGGCATGCAACATGATTGCTTTTCCTTTTTGGTTTTTATTTGATTGCTTTAACCCCTCTATTTATAAAAGAAGAAGGATTGCCCTTCGTTAAAAATGCATGAATTCATCCATAAGAAAGTTGTGAAAGGAAGGTCATCCAGCATAGAGCTTTGCCACTATACATGTGTGTGGTGTGTGTGTGTGTGTGTGTGTGTGTGTTGCCAATTTTTAGTGTTAAGTAATTTTGGACAAATAATTAACTATAAATTTCATGCCACTGACACCATTATATTTAGTATCAAGAGGAAGAAGTAGATTATTAAGAAAGCATGAATGAAGAGAGAAAAAGAGAGCCCCCCCCATAAATCCCTGCAATTTTATTCTGTCTTGTTTCTAAATTTCATAACATTCTAATTTCTGTCATAGATGAATGTTTTTTCTGTGCAATATCCCAAATCCCTATGAACCAATTTTGAGATTAGCCACCTAAAGATTTTTAGTGTTACTGTTTTATATGCTTGGCTTTAATGGTTTAATATTGACTATTATGTAGATTTATTTACCTTTTTAGATCCATTAAGGACTGGAGCTGGAGGTGAAATGGACCAGCTAGTGCAAAACAGTGCCTCTTCCCTAAAGAATTTATACAATGAAGTTTTACTGAATTATAGAATGCCAAAATCAAGGGAGTACACACAAATATCATGCTCTTTGAATGATTTGCATCAAGCACCCCTTGAAGTGGTGGTTGGTTCCATGCTAATTGCAACAAGTGTACTCTTGAATTCTCATCCATTTGGTGAATCTATAATTCTAATAGTGAAAGGTGATCACAGCTCGGGATTTCATGGTCTAGTTCTGAATAAGAGGATGAATTGGGAGTCTTTGGATGAAATGGATGAAGTTTTAGAATTTGTGAAGGTGGCTCCTCTATCTTTTGGTGGTCCTGTAATAAGGCACGGAATGCCTCTTGTGGCTTTGACAAAAAGACCTATACAAGAACATCACCATTATTACCCAGAAGTCCTTCCAAACATATATTTCCTTGATCAAATGGCCACGCTTCGCTTGCTAGAGAACATTAAATCCGGAAACGAATCTGTCGATGGATTCTGGTTCTTTTGGGGATTTTCGAGTTGGGGTGGGAATCAATTAGTGAGTGAGATTATGGAAGGAGCTTGGACAGTGAACAAAGGCAACGGGGAGCAAATAGGGTGGCCTTCGATGTAAACTTCAAAAACCCTCTCATTTCACCTCTCAAAAGTTGCTTTCTATATCCTACACTCGTGGACTGCATACCAAGAAACTTTAATACGAACCAAGTGGCGTCTGTCTTTGATGCCTTATATATACAGTATACGTAATTAAATTGAATATGCACATTTTCAACGATCCCATATCACTGCAAATATTTTCAATATATCCATTTAAACTCTACCGTAATCTCTGTTATCAAACAATTAATTTTTGATTTTGTGCAAACAAGTTGGGTTAGAGTTATTTTTCTAATTAAATTGGCTGAAACTATTGCTGAAAGTCATTTTAGTTATTTTGCATATAATTTTTTTATATAAACAAAATATATCTTGAATAATATCTTTGTCTCATTGTTTTTCAAAGTCAATATTTTTTTTGTCAACGTTAAAGTTAAATCTTCCTTATTGATAAATTATTCAAGTTTGATAATTAAAATTTACATATTCAAAAGAATTAAATTTATGAAGTTGCAAAATTCAAATTAAAATTTAATTAAGAATTGATATTCTAATTAAGTGAATAAAAGAATCTTTTTTACCAAAGAAAAATCAATTTTGTAATTTAGTTTGAGACTCTTATTGGTCCCAAATTAGGCTTTTGATATATAATAGGCCTTTTGGCTTGGATATGACTAAAAGAAAGATAAAGACAAAAAGTGACAAGTTTTTAAAATTTCCAAAAACATGACCAACATCAAAATTAAACCGTGCAGGGTAAAGTGACTCAGGTCACAATAAGGATGGATCCGGGTCGGGCCGGGCCTGGTTCAATGTCTAATTTTTTTTTGGCTTTCTTGTTATCCCTCGACCCCCCCCCCCCCCCCCCCCTCACCTCCACCCCCTAAACCTCCCCAAAACACACAGCCCTACCCTAGGGAAAGAAAAAAATTGAAAAAAAATTGACCCGGCCCCGGCCCGACCCGCCTGACCCGCTAAAAGCCTGGAACCGGCCAACCGGGCCCGCACAGTAGCGGGTCGGGCTGAGCCGGTTCCAGGCCGGGTCGGCCCGGTTTAGTCCATCCCTAGGTCACAATGACTTCGTTGCTATAGTGATTCTGCCCCGCCAGTGATTACTGCTTTCGGCCAGTGACTGCCGGCGCCCTCGGGTAATGACTCCGCTGCCACAGTGACTTCGCTGCATCAGTGACTCTGCCCCGCACCCCTGCCAGTGACTGTGCCACCTTGGCCGCTCACTGCCCCAGCCAGTCACTGCCGCCCCCTCCCTCGACTAGTCACTACTGCCCCCTCCTCTCCGGCCAATCACTGCCGCTGCCCGCCCCTTCAATTGAACCACCTCAAATCAACCACCCCGGCAAGCCAGGCGGCCATCGCACCCCAACCTAAGCCCCAGCTCCAGTCCACCACACCCCAGCCCCACCACACCCTGCCCCGGCTCCACCACACCCCATCCCCACCACATCCCACCCCAATCCCAAGACTCTGCCCCTGCCCTGCCACTGAACCACCTTCGCCATGACCATTCCGGTCGGAGATTGCACCCCAGCCCAACCACACCCAGCCCAACCCTGCACAATCGCTGCCCAAGACTCTGCAACCCGTCTCCTGCCCCTGCCACTGAACCACCTCTGCCCAAATCGGAGTTGGCATGCACCGAGATGATAGATCTGGTATCAGCAGCCCCAAGGATGGCAAATTCGGCACCGGCGGCATCAAGGACGACATATCTGTCACCAGCGGCATCAAGGACGACAAATCCGACACCAGCGGCCCCAAGGACGACAGATCCGACACTGGTTAATAATGTAATTATATAAGGATTACCAGTGGCGGATCCAAGAAATATACTTATTGGGGGCATACGTAAAGGTTAGAGTGAGAGATTTTCTTAAACGGATTAAATGTCAGAGTAATTTTACTAGAGTCAAATGTCTATATTAGAACACAATAATAGTTATACACCACAAGTATTTGTATACTAGCGCAATGAATGAGAGGGTGAGGAGGAAGTGCGACCTCAGTCCCAGGGGCGGAGATAGGGGAGGGCCAACATTGGTCCTGGGCCAGCCCAAATTTAAAAAATGTCTTAATTCTTAGTGTAAAAAATTTCGGGCAAAACATTTTCCAAAAATTTTCTTTGTATCGGCCCAGTCCGGCCCAGTGTCCTGCCTCCGCCTCTGCTCAGTCTCATTCTCACTTCAGCCATGTAACCCTACATATCTCAACCTTACAAACAACTAAGCTGAAGTACAACATAATTCAGACTTATCAATTTGATAACATTTTAAATAACTATATTAAATAGTATTTAAAATATTATTTAAGTGGGAGATGCACTCTAACCCATTATAATACCGACTATTTCAGTCCCGAAATTATTAAAAGCTGAACAAATTTAGGAGAAATCAATGTTTAAGTTAGAGACCTAATTAATGTATTAATTGTGACATATTGGCGTGTTAATTTAGTAAATTAAAAGTATGCATTTAAGTAAATAATAATTTAAGTATACAATTAAAACTTAGTTAATAGAATTGTTTGACATTCGAAACTCTAAATAAAGTAGTGACATTAAAACTAATCCAATAGAACCCTGATTTGAATAGGAATTTTATATGAAAATTGTTAGTTTTTACTGTTTACGGCGTGAATATTGAATGATTGAAGATATGTAAAAGCAAATATGTTAAAATTGTGACATAATAGTTCAATCTACATGCCTAGATTTAGTAACCTTTATAGTTACCGTATCTAAAGTAACAAATTGCATTTAATAATGATTACTGGTTATTTAATAAATTAATACTCCGTTAAATTATATGTATCTAGTTTCTTGAGAATTTTACATTAATTTGTCAATTCATTTGATTTCACTTTAAAAAAACTAACACATATAATGATATACTTAGAGAGACACTCATATAACAATTTAGCACGTCACAAAAAATTATTGGGGGCAACTCATAATTTTTATTGGGGGCAAATCACTTTCTAACAATTAATGACTATATCATATATGAAAAAACTTGGAATTTTATTGGGGGCACATGCCCCCACTCCTTAAGCAGTACATCCGCCCCTGAGGATTACTATGTAATTTCCTAAACTCGATTTTAGTATAAATATAACATCAAGACATCCAATATGGAATACCATTACTTCCTAAGATATTTTGTTTTGTATACGGAATACCACAAACACGACACCCGTGTCAATGGTGCAGCCATCTTCCGACATCGCTACAACCATGGTGCCTGGTACCTCGGCGCAGCCTTCGTCTCGTATTATAACGTTGATCACAAAGGCGATGTCTGGTTTTACTCCCACCGCCTCCGGTTCCAGCAGCACGGTATCTCCGTCACAGCCGCTTTCGATGCTATTCGATTCGTCTACGCCTCAGACTGCTCAACCGCGATCCCCGCTGGCACCTTCCCTGTAGCAGCGTCTTCATGGAGTCCCGCCGATAGACTCTTACCGATTATTTAATATGCCAGAGCCTTTTACTTGGACTCCTGCAGTGCCCACTTTTCCGCCCCCAGTGCCTGGCGCTTTTCCGGATGTCAGAAGCTCATCAACGATCTTCTCCAGACCTACGTTTTCTAGACAACCCGACGTGGCACCTCTGCCGCAAGTAATATCATCTTCTCTGCGAGGTTTTAACAACCCCCTAGTGTATTATCTTCCCTGGCATCACAATTGGCTTTTTCTACTCCTAATGTCAACAATATTGTTACCACCCGTTTATCATCTGTTGAGGATTATTTGTCCTGGAGAACTTAGTTTAAATCGTTTTTAATCTCTTACAGTTTAATGGGAATTATCGATGTTTCAATTCCAGTTCCGTTCCCTACTACGTATGATCTGCCCCGTCGAGAAATTCCCAATACTGATTACAGTCACTAGCTAAAAATTGATCAAACTGTGCGATCATGGCTGTTTGCTACTCTTGGTAGATATGTTCTCATGGAAGTCTATGATTTAAAATTTTCACATCTTATTTGGGATAGACTTCAAAAACGGTTTATGTCTGCATATATTTCTCGATCTATAGAGCTGAAACGGTTATGGTCTCATAAGAAAAAGAAGGAATCTCAGACTGTGGATCAGTATCTGTTAGAAATTAAACTTTTAGCATATTCCCTAGCAGCCATTAATTCTCCAGTAAGTGCACGTGATTTAATTGTGATGGAGTTTAATCCAATTACGATAGCTAAATATATGTAGAGTATAGAAATAATGTTGAAAAATAATATGGCAGCGTAAGACAGTATTACTCTTATCCCGGAAAGTGAATTGCTGATCCCTTGGTAGGGTGTTTACATTAAGTATTTATAGAGATCAGGAGGTAGAATTATGGGAGGAATCTAATACAATAAATGCTTAATTAATGAACTATATTCTTGCTCGAAATAGAACTCCCTTTCGTGCTTCATCCTCACGCAATAATTATCTCCTATTTTCGGTCGAGTCCTGCATGTTCCCAAATATCTAACATCGAATGATAGCTTGCCACGTAGGCCTTAGGAATATCCCGGCCCCACTAGAACTCCGTCCAGGCTCGAGGTCTGTTGTCCAGCCCGGCCTGACTGTGGGTTCCTATCATGGGCCTAATTCCTAATGGGCCAAACGGCTTATCCGATATAAATTCCGTTTATGGGCTAATCCTGTTAATTAGGCTAATCTCGTAAAGGGTTGATCCCGTTTATGGGCTGATCTTGTTAATTAGGCTAATCCCGTTAAGGGTTGATCCCGTTTTGTGGGCTGATCCTGTTAATTAGGCTAATCTCGTTAAGGGTTGATCCCGTTTATGAGCTGATCCTGTTAATTAGGCTAATCCCGTTAAAGGCTGATCCCGTTTATGGGCTGGGTTACGTAATTGGGCCATGACTAGAATCCATGGTACTATCACGAGTCCCCTACTCCTCAAAATTAGCAAGGCTGAATTTTGGAGTAAAATTGGAGCGGTTCTTGGATTTTGAATTTCGAATCTTCATAGGCGCCTGTAGTTCTTCCTAGAAATAAGAAATAATTGCCCTTAATGAGACTAAAACATTGTCTAAATTCCACAATAGGACTTTAAGTTTATTATTCCCTAAATAGGACTAAAGATTACATGGGATAACGATTAGCCCTAACTTTTATTTATAGTCATGACTTATGAAATCATAATGGGGTATGGTCGCTCTGAAATCTGAAAGGCAAGTTTGCATCCAAGGGAGCCAAGGATGATCGAGGAATCAAGACTTTCTGTACAACACTAACACCCGTCTATATTTT